GTTACAGCAGCCACAGAAAGCCGATACAGGAAGTGTTCACGGGAAATGGGTTTTTGCTTCTTCTGCTAAGTACAGACTTACAATGGTTTGACTCATGGTTTTTTGACTTCACAATGGTTCAAAAGCAATATGCATTCAGTAGAAACCATACTTTGAATTTTGAGTTTTGATCTTTTCCTGGGCTAGCAATATGTGGTACTATACTCTCTCGTGATGCTGGGCAGTGGCAGTGAGCCATAGCTCCTAGTCAGCCATGCAGTCATGAAAGTAAACAACCAATACACTTAGAACCATTCTATACCCATACAACCATTCTGTTTTTCACTTTCAGTGCTATATTTAATAAATTACAAGAGATATTCAACACTTTATTATAAAATAGATCTTGTGTTCTTTGATTTTACCCAACTTTAAGCTAATATTAGTATTCTGAGAACTTTTTTTAAAATTTTATTCTTTTTTTATGGCTGAGTAATATGCCATTGTATATAAATGTATATATATATATATATATCACATCTTTTTTTTAATATTTATTTATTTGGCTGCATCAGGTCTTAGTTGAAGCACATGGTATATTTGTTGTGGCATGTGGGATCTTTCTTTGCAGTGCATGGACTCTTCCTTGCAGCACGTGGACTTCTTTCTAGTTGTGGCATGGGCTCAGTAGTTGTGGCACACAGGCTTAGGTGCCCCATGGCATGTGAGATCTTCGTTCCCCCACCAGGGGTCGAACACGTGTCCCCTGCATTGGAAGGTGGATTCTTAACCACTGGACCATCAGGGAAGTCCCAGTGTTCTGAGAACTTTTAAGGTAGGTTGGGCTAAGCTATGGTGTTTGGTAGGTCAGATGTATTAAATGCATGTTCTACTTATGACATTTTCAGCCTACAGTGGGTTTATTGGAACTTACCCCTTGTAAGTTGAGGAAAATCTGCACACGTCATTTTCTGTATAAGCAGGAGGAGGGGAAAAGATTAGGATCTAACTCTAAATGTACCAAATAGAAGCAGATAAAACAAGATGAACCAGGAGGAGGGGGTTCAAGAGTGTGTTCCACAGGGAAGAAGGAGCCAAGTTCCTAAAGGAAAGCTCATTCACCTAGATTCAATGCCCTCTTCTCCACTGGACCGCACCCTGGCCTTTAAAGACTTGCACAAAACCCCAATATAGTTTCTAACGGCTCAAGATCACAACCCTAGGATGAACCCAACTTAAAAATCCCTACTGAGAAAACTCAAGGCTGCCAGAAGAATTGACTGCTCCAGCCAGCACCTGTTTCCCAACCTGTGTGGGAGGGCAGGAGCCTAACTTCTATAAGCACCAGTTAGCTAACGCAGATGGGCTTCACATGGACCAATCCCCTCTTCACTATTTTTGTAATTTTTCACTTCCCTGTCCTTGCTCAAGCCCCTGGACCCCTCAATTCCCCAGCCCTAGTCTCTCATTCTCTCTTTAAAACCTCCTGTCACCCCTGTACAAATCAAAGTTGAGTTCAATTCATGCTGGACTCTTTTCCCTACTGAAATTGTATATTACTGATTAAAATCTGTCCTTACCACTTTAGCTAGTCCAGGTTTATTTATCTTTGACTCCTACACATCCTGGAAATTGGATCCTCCATGGCCCACTGATTATAACAGAATACTGAGGAGGATTCCAGGGTGTTTAACTCTGCTAGCAGGTCAAGTCTCCATACCACATTGATCAGGCTCTTAGATACACAGCACTGGCCAAGTCAACACCAAGAGAACACAACTGGGGAAAGACTACATTGTAAAAACAAAACAAGAGGGCTTCCCTGGTGGTGCAGTGGTTAAGAGTCCGCCTGCCGATGCAGGGGACACGGGTTCGTGCCCCGGTCCGGGAAGATCCCACATGCCACGGAGGGGCTGGGCCCGTGAGCCATGGCCGCTGAGCCTGCGCGTCCAGAGCCTGTGCTCCACAACGGGAGAGGCCACAACAGTAGGAGGCCCTCATACCGCAAAACAAAACAAAACAAAACAAGACAAAACAAAACAATTATGAGAACAGTGTGGACTTTAAAGTCTTACTGACATGTTTAATGGAGATCACTTAAGAGAGGTAGTTTTGAATCACCTGGAACTACATATGTATGTCAGGACCCAATGAGAGCTACCTGCTCAGTTACCCAGACCAAGGACGTGGCTGGAAGGATACCATTTCTGCTTTAAAGTTCTGGTAAGATTACAGCATGATGGGGAGGAGTAAGAATAGTGATATTCCTGAGACCTGAGGGAGGCAAACCCTAAGAAAGAGTAGGGCAAAAAGGAAGAAAAGGTAAACAATTATCCATCAATTCCTGGCATCAGAGCAGTTAGAAGCAGTGCTGGTGTCCCCACAATGGTGGACTTTGCAATCCTATAAAGCTGTGCATACCTTCTCAGTGCACTAAAAGGATTAAATTGTTTCACAGGCAGCTGACACATCAGGCTGTGACTAATTCAACACGTAGAAGTGTTTTGTTCATTTTACAATTAATGCATTTGGGGAAATGTAATTTGTTAAACCCAAGTATGGATATTTAGATGATTGCTGATTGTTTGCTATGTTTAAAAAAAGCTAATTGTTAGCATAAGATTAGCGACATGGGTATTAAATAGCATGTGTCGGGCCTCAGGCAATACAGACTCCTTTCCACTGATGAACTCTAGGAGGTGTGAGGTGTGATACACAACTTTACTTTTTCCTTCTTGGAAAGAGAGAGGCTGGGAGGAGGAAGGGAGTTTCCAGAGTTCCGATGGGAAAGGATGAACGGAAGGCTTATCTGTACTTAGCCCCACACCCAGGCAATGGCCAATGTGACTGGGTGGAGGAGAGAGCCTCAGGATCATCCTTACTTGGGGTGGGGTAGGTAGGAGGGTGGAACACTGGATTTTGTTTTTGTTTCTCTCTCTAGGCAGAGCAAGTGGGGAGAGGTACACAGGTCCCAAGTGCTGCCTCTCCTCTTTGCCCCTAACCCTAATTCCCACTCAGCAACTTCTCAAAGGTGTATTCTTCCCGGGGTTCCATCTGAGCTCAAAGAGCAAGGCAGCTGGGTGGGGGTATCAAATCCAAGATATCATGTCCCGTCTGCCCTATGTGCACCAGCTTGGGGCCTCCAGAGCTCACTGAAGCTGTGAAGGGGCAGAGGTAGGACTCAACAACAAGGCTACTGACTCCAAACCAACCCCAAGACCACAGCTGCCCCCATCACCCGTCCTACTGCTGCATGCTCCTGGCAGACACAGCCTGGATCCCCAGAACCTTCTACAGTGGTCCCAACACATGTTTTATCCACCCTTCACATAGATCTCAGGCCACTCTGGAGATCTCATGAAGCACACCAGGCCCTCCCATCTCCTCCCCCCACCATTTCCATATGGGTGGTATCTGCTTACAGTTAAAGCCAAGGGCAGGTAAAGGAGCAGCTTAATCATTTAGAGCATTTCCCTGTACATTTATGACGGAGTTACTGTGAAACTCATGGGCCTCAGCATACAGAAGACCATCACCAGAGAATTCCTGGCAACAACCCTGCAATCAGATTATGGAGCCCTGGTTGAAACACAGCTTCCTCAGTAGAAGTGGTGAGGGGGGGGAGGAGTGTCAGTCCTCTCAACTGTTCTTTGGGGTAAGGTTGCTCTCAGCTGGGTTTGACATCTATAAGCTAGAAAAAAAGTAACATCACACAAACACACACATTAGGCTCAAAAAACTCAGCCTTTCCCCAGGGGAGCCCCTCTCAAACATGGTGTTTTCTACAGGTTTCCAATGAGCTTTGAGGTGTGTCCAAAGCAAACTTTAATAAATAATAACTGAAGAACCACCCCCCACCCCACCCACTGAAGAGGACTCAAGGTCACCTTTTCCTCAGGTCCAGAACTCTCCCTCTCCAGAGTGCCATTCTGGTGTCTCCATCTCAACCAGGATATTGATGGGGAACTGAAATTCAACACCACTCCAGCTAAGTTCAACTTGGCTTCTCAAACCTGTTTATTCTCCTATTCCCTCTCCCATTGTAGGCAGTGGTACTGTAATCCAGCCAGTCAGCCACTCCAGAAACCAGAGTCATCTTAAATTGTTCCATCTCCTACTAATGTTTCTGGCCTCTTAACTGGGACATACACAGTCCCAAGCTAGCTCACCAGACCACAGTTCTAATTTCTGTTGAGGTTTACCTCTTTATGAGGGAAGAAGATCAAAGAGCTTCTCTCCAGCACCAAAGGAGACTAGCACATATCTGTCCCCTTCTTGGTTTCCACACCCACTCTGTGGTGCCCTCTTCACCCTCAGCCCCACTCCCTCCGCCTCCCCTTCGGCCCCACATTTCTGACATGAGCTCAGACTTAGTTGAGCAGCAATAATCCCCATGCTGGCCAGTTACTCAAACTGGGAAGTGGGTGCCCATGTAGCCTGCCAGCGCTTCCAGCCTGGAAGATTAAGGTGAGGACAGCCATGTCCATAGTGAGCACCAGCTACAATCTAACAGGGGAAGAAAATACCAGGCACCCATCTGTAAGGGGAAGCTCCATCAGAAGGGGTATCATTGTGGAGTCAAACAATCTGTCTCGAGGGCCTCCAGTTTATGCTCCCCATAGCCAGTACCCAAATACAATCCTTCCTGCTGGCTGCACGCACATGGGTACCCATCCATGGAAGCTCTGTAACCTCTCTCTTCCCACCAAAACTGCTCTTGGGAGCAACTTGAGATCTGCATTCACACCACTGTTAATCAGAGCCACTGAGTTCCCCCCAGCCCCAGGGACTTGCACATGTGAAGCTTCACCTGTCACTATGGACTTCCAGCTTGGAAGTTTCTAAGAGAGAGGGGCTCCCATCTCCCACCTCCAGGAGAGACTGATCCAGGCCAGCATACAGCGGTATGCCATGAGGTGGATACAGAGGGACACAGCGTGTGGCCCAGGCCCTGAGAGGCAGAGGCAGGGGCCTGTTCTTAGCCTCACTCCCTGATCATAGCCTGAGACACACCCCCTCACCTGGCCAGGCAGCAGCACGCAGCGGCACTGTGCAGGGAGAAGCACACCCTTTGCAGGAGGCTTGGGCAGAGCGAAGAGACACCACATGTCTGACAAAGTGCTTTGTAAACTGTGGAGAACCAGAGCTGTGAATGGTTTAGTGTGTGCCCTGTGACGATAACGACAGGAGAGACTGCCATTGTTGAGGGGATGGAAAAGCTTCCTGAAACAATAAACACACAGACATCAGTGTTCATGTTACTTGAGCCCTACAGTGAGCCCATCACTAGTGCTTTCTCCTTTGATTCTGAGAACTGAATGTCCACGCTTCATGGGGGCAGCAGAGTGCGACAAATGTCACCTTTTGCCGAAGCAAGGATTCATGGTCATACTACCTTGCACGGAGTGGGGAATGTCAATCCAACATATCCCCAGGAGGGCTAGAACAGAAATAAAGTCACTGGATTTTGGAATCAAAAGAATCTGAATTCAAACTCAGCCCCTAACTGTGCAATAGGTGCTCATGATTTGGCCTTTCCAAACCTCAGCGTTTTCATCAGTGTAGTGACAATAATAGCAGAAGCTGCTACTTATTGATCATTCACTGCATACCAAACATGGCACTAAATATTTTACATTTCACTGGATTGACCAAAGAGCTATGAGTTGGATGTTATCATGAGGGAAATAATATCTTCCTTAGGGTAATGTTATAAGAACCAAATGAGGTAATGTATGCAAACCATAGTTGGTGCTTTAAAAACTGCAGTTGAGTCCAGCTCTGTGAAAGATATGGTAGGAGGTGGGGAAGAAGCAGGGTAGGAGGAGCTTAAGAAAAGGAGTACAGAACTTAGATGTAAACTTCAAGAAGGTTATAGACAGTTGGGAAGATAAGACATGAGTGCGTGAACCAGAAAACTGTGAGACGCTCTCCCTGCCATGGGAGAGTAGAATTTCTCTAAGGAGGGATACAAACAGATTTTGAAGAAGCAGAGAATAAAGAAGAGGGAATACCAAGCTGGGGGAAAAGTAAGCCAAGATATGAAAACAGGTGGAGACTTTAGGGTCATGTGCTGGTGAGGGCCTGGACAAGAGTACCTGCTATTTCACATTGTACTCTGCTATCTCAGGGCAAACCATGAGTCACTCCCCTGACAGATCTTGGCTCTTCACATAGTTGCAGTCAGCTCCAGCCAACACCAGACTTAGCACTCGTCGAGTCCAAGCTCCTCTTTTTCAGATGAGGAATCTGAGGCTCAGAGAAGATACAAAACTTGGCTGATGCTGAAAGAGAGCTATCTAGGTCTTCTGATTTCCTCTAATGCCCATCGTCCCCACCACTAATTGCCATCAACATCAGGAGAGCCAGAGAAGGCTCACTCTACCTTGCAGCTGCCCCACTTCCCCAGTTCTGAGAGGAATAGATAGCCAAAAGCTTGCTCTTGCATCCAAGTAGGGTCTGGGAGACAATACTAATATTTCCAGAGATTCACGGACCCTCCCTGGGGTAGATTATACTCCCCTGTCTCATTGATGGCAGGTCATATGACTTGCTAGTGTGTAATAGTTTTCCATTCTCTCTCTCTCTCTCTCATATTTTGTTGTAGTAAAATACACATTACAAAATTTACCTTCTTAACAATTTTTTTTTTTTTGTGGTACGTGGGCCTCTCACTGTTGTGGCCTCTCCCATTGCGGAGCACAGGCTCCAGACGCGCAGGCTCAGTGGCCATGGCTCACCGGCCTAGCCACTCCGCGGCATGTGGGATCTTCCCGGACTGGGGCACGAACCCGTGTCCCCTGCATCGGCAGGCAGACTCTCAACCACTGCACAACCAGGGAAGCCCCTTCTTAACCATTTTTAATTGCACAGTCCAGTGGTGTTAATCACCATGCTCTCTTTTCTCTCCATCACGACAACCAGCAATTCTTTAAATGGGATCTTCTTCATCAGTCTGTGTCCCAGGTTAAAATGACATGGAGAGGAAATGCAACTGACTCAGTTAGCATGAGCAAGGAATACATCTTTGATATTGTAGCTTCCAGCATCTTGGGGTTGCTTGTTACTCCAGCAGCACCTAACCTCTCCTGGCTGATACACAGGATAACACACTGTCATCTCCAACTTGCTATTCACACTGCTGTCTAAAGACCATGAAGGTTCCATGTCATAGCATCTGACTTGAACAAAAGTAGAAGATACTGTTTCTACCCTCTAAAATCTCAAGATGCAGGATAGAGACCAGGAATGGAACTAGCTGAAAAACAAGGGCAAATGCATACAACTGAACAAGCGCATTCTTCAGCATGGGCATGTTGAAAAGGACTGATCCTCCAGGCTGCTGAGAAAGGATTTTCTTCAGAAGGGAGTCTTTTGAGACAGGGTGTCACATCCAATCTTCTCAACCTAAAGAGAAAGACAGGGAGGAGGAAAGCCAGGGTAGGGGAATCACTGACTATCATCTCAGGCAGGGGTTTTATTGCTATCTATCCCTGATAACATGTGGGTAGACCCCTATCAAAGAGATGTGAGGGTGTCAAGTTGTCCAGTCCTGACCTGGGACCGCCCACCACTTGCACAATCCCTGGCAGCTTGTCTCCAGGAGAACAGGGTCTTAGAGTATCCAAGGCCTCTGCTACCTGTAACAAGAGACAGATGGTGTTTGCACTTCTTTCAAAGACAGATCTGTGTCATGTGAAGGTGGAGGAGGAAATAAGAGCTCTACAAACATACTCAATCTCTCTTTATGGTACCCATTTATATACCTGGCAGCTGTCCAACTCATCAAAGTCCCACTCTTCCTGAACATGTAAAATGGGTGAAAAATGACTTGGGTCAAAGTTTAAGGAGCCAGGTAAGGGCCCAGAGGTGATAGAGTCAGGCTGAGCATAGGCAGTGTCCACCCTAGAGAAGGGTGACCAACTATGCAGCTCCCCCTCATCTTTGGGACCCTGGTGGACCCACCAATATCTATTATGCCCTTTGTAAGATCCTGAGCATAAGGAAAATATAAAAGCTTACAGTTTTCTTACCTGGACTCTGGAGCCAGGGCACCTGAGTTCAAAGCAGCTAGAACAGCACCTGCAAGACTAGGTCTGAAGAAGGTTTAGCTTCAGTTGCTGCCACAGTGCTCTCACCCATCATTTGCCATGGAGCTCATAAGCCAGGAACACAGATGTGCAGGAGTGGTCTGAGTCTGAGGCTTGGAATAAGTGAGATTCAGATGGGGCCATGGGCCCTTGGTCTGTGGAAGTCCCACTTCCCGGGACCTGCAGGGAAAATAAAGAGGCAGTTGTCATGTGTGAAGAAACCACTGGACCAACCATGAAGATCCCATCCCTGAGTCCCAGCTTTTTTCTTTAGTTCAAGAGGTAGAGACGGAATTTATCAAAAGCCACAGCTTGGGGGCTAGGAGCGAGGTTTCATCCCAAGGCCCACATTTGTTCATCTGAGAAGTGAGCGAGTCAAAGTAAGGATGTACGGCAGAGCATCTGGTGGAAAGGAGCAGGGCTGCAGGGCCTGATGTGCAGGGCATAGTGCCCTATCTTGTGACACTTGCAGCAGCCCTGCAAGGAGACCCTAGGAGACCAAGGTTACAGTGCAGGTCCGGGCTGGAGTCTGGGCCCCAATATCAGTCTTCTTCCCTGAGACTGTTCCTCAATGGAAGCCGAGACTCTGGATCCAGCTGTTGTGAGGACATGAGAGGAGATGAGTAAAAGAGAAAATGTCACCCCTGCTGTTTCTCACTACTGGCTTCAAAGCACTTTTCCCCACTGACTAATTCACAGGGCGAGAAAGTGCTTTCTGGCTTTCATCATAAACATGCAAGGAGCTGAAGTGGGCTGGGGACTTGAACTGGACTTGAAAGAGAGTTAGGTTGGAGATGTGGAAGTTTTCCAGATGGTGGAGTAGGTCTAGATGTCAAAACTAAAAGGTCTATGTGGGGGCTATGAATGGATCAGTTTGGACTGGGTGGTGGGTGTGTGAAGGCAAGAGGCAGGAAGGCATCTTGGGTTCAAACTATGAAGGTAGCTGTCTTAGTTTCCTAAGGCTGCCATAACAAAGTTCCAACAACTTGGTGGCTTAAACAACAAAAATGTATTCTCTCAAGTTGTGGAGACTAGAAGTCTGAAACCATGGTATCAACAGGGTTGGTTCCCTCTAGAGGCTCTGAGAAAGAGTCTGTCTTGGCATCTGGTGGCTGCAGCAATCCTTGGTTTGTAGATACATCACTCCAGTCTTTGCCTTCATCCTCACATGGAGTTCTTCCTGTGTATGTCCCTCTTCTCTTCTTATAAGGACACAAGTCATACTGGATTGGGGTCCACCCTATTCAAGTATGATTTCATCTTAACTAAACTAGTAACATCAGAAATGACCCTATTTCCAAATGAGAGTACATTCTAAGGTATCAAGGGTTAGGACTTCAATATATCTTTCTTGGAGGACACAACTCAATGCATAACAGGTACATAACCCCCGGGTTTCCCCACTCTTTGTGCTCCAGTCCCCCTCTCCAGATCCCTCCAGTTCTGTCCTTTCTGGTGCCCATTCAAGCAGCAAGCACTGCTCCCCCAGGGACACACTCATTCCTGTATGAAATTGCTCTATCTGCAAATATAAATTGGTAGAGCTACTCTGAAGAACAGAATGGAGGTTCCTCAAAAAATTAAAAAGATAACTACCATATGATCCAGCAATTCCACTTCTGGGTATATAGCTGAAGGAAATGAAATCAGTGTGTCAAAGAGATATGTGCACCCCCATATTCACTGCAGCATTATTCACAATAGCAAGACATGAAAACAACCTAAGTGTCCATGGATGGATGAATGGATAAAGAAAATGTGGTATGCAACTTAATATCAAAAAACAAATAACTCAATTATAAAATGGGCAGAGGCTAGCGGTTAGGATTCTGGGCTTTCACTGCTGTGGTCCAGGTTCAATCCCTGGTTGGGGAACTGAGATCCTGTAAACTGTGCAGCATGGCCAAAAAAAAGAATAATGGGCAGAGGAACTAAATAGACATTTCTCCAAAGAAAACATACAGATGGCCAACATACATGACAAGATGATCCATATCACTCATTATCAGGTAAATACAAATCAAAACCACATTGAGATATCACCTCACACCTGTCAGAATGGCTATCATCAAAAAGACAACAAATAAAAAGTGTTGATGAAGATTTGGAGAAAAGGGAACCCTCATGCAGTGTTGGTGGGAAGGTAAACTGGTACAGCCACTGTGAAAAACAGTATAGAAGTTCCTCAAAAAATTAAAAATAGAACTATGATACAATCCATCAATTCCACTTCTGGGTATTTACTCAAAGAAAACTAAGACACTAATTTGAAAAGACACATACATCTCAATGTTCATAATAGCATTATTTATAATAGCGAAGATATGAAAGCAACTTAAATGTCCATCAATAGATGAATGGATAAAGAAGATGTGGTACATAGATATACAATGGAATACTACTCAGTCATAAAAAAATGAAATATTGCCATTTGTAAAAACATGGTTGGACCTACAGGGTATGCTAAGTGAAATAAGTAAGACAGAGAAAAGCAAATACCATAGAATCTCACTTAAAATGAAACAAACAAAACAAAACAGACTTATAGATAGAGAAAGCTGGTGGTTACCAGAGGGGAAGGGGGTAGGGGTTGGGCAAAATAGGTGAAGGGGATTGAGAGATAAAAATTTCCAGTTATAAAATAAATAAGTCATAGTTATGTAATGTACAACATGAGGAATATATATGATAATACTGTAATAATTTTGCATGGTGACAGGTGGTTATTGGACTTGTGGTGATCGTTTCATACTGTATTTGATTGTTGAATCACTATGTTGTATGGCTGAACCTAACATAATATTGTACATCAACTACACTTCAATAAAATACTTTATTTAAGAAAGGAAAATGAGATATATAATATATTATATATAGGAATACTATTCAGCCATTAAAAATAAGGAAATTTGTGATGACATGAATGGACATTGAGGGTATTGTGTGACCTTATTTGGTGTCCAGGGCCACACACTTGGAAGGGGAAGGAGCTTATACCTCCACCTTCTGACCTTGGACACATTCTTTCTCTACCACACCAAACAGCTCTGACACATTTCTGTCACAAAAATTATTTATAGAGAGAGAGCTGAACAGGAGATGGAAGTCTCTGAGGAGAGTGCTAAGGGCTGTCCCTGTCTGTGAGGGGAGATGATCTGAAACTGAAAGATGATCTAGGACTCAGTGGATTATCTGGACAGAAATGAATGAAGGAGGTTTGGTCCCTGCCCACCCTCTAAGGTGTCCAGGGTAGAAGAATATCTGAGTTCAAAGAGACTACATGCTCCATTCCTGATCACTCAAGGACCCTTATCTCCATATATGTCTCCACGCTGGGACATGGGGAACCCAGGTCCCCCTTTGCTCTGGTAGCAGCCAGTATGTTGGGCCACAACCATAGAAGAATCCCTGGGACCTGTAACCCTGTCCACAACCCCACCCAGCCAGGAGTGGGAGAGGCTCAGGATGGACAATGAGGGGCTCAGCCAACTGAGGCCTCTCCTGGAGTCCAAGGATAGGATCCTCACTGGAGCCTCTTCCACTTGATCATTCTCACTATGGCCAACATAGAAGTGGTGT